TCAGTACTGTATTTTTTGAAAAGCAGAAGCAATCCATGTCTCAGAGGATCTCTGCAGCTCAAACCTGCATTGCGTAAGAGTCGACTATATGACCACAGGCTGCAGCAGATCCAGATGACTGAAGTACATTGTTCAGCAAGAGGTTCCTACTTTTGTCATGATCCTCCCGTTGTTCGATTTGCTCAAATGGGCCCAGTAATGTCTCCATTGTGAGACTTTTTACTGTGTTTGGCATATTGAATACATCACGGGTAGCTTGCCAGGCTTTGCTATGTGGGCGAGATACTCTTGGTAGCTTGCAGGGCTCTCCCAGAGGGGCGAAGGAATCCAACCTGGCTGGGCCAGGCAGGCTGCATGCAAGGCAAACGCCCTACCACTGTGCTATCGCTCCAGCCCTTTACTTTATTTTTTCTTTGCCTTGCTTTTCTTTTTTCTTTTGGTGGTGGGGGGGAGGGTTACCAGCTGGCTGTGCTCAAGGTTCACTGCTGGCTCTGTGTTCAGAGATTGCTCTCGGCAGTGCTCTTGGAACCATATGTGGTGCCAGGGATAGAACCCAAGTAGTTGGCCTTGTGAAAAGTAAGTGCCCGGCCTTGTATATTAGATCTTCTGCTCTGTATTTTCTTTCTGATATTTTTAGACTGTACCTCCATCCACACATTTGAGATGCTTAAAGTTGGGGAGAAATGAAGACCATCTATGTGATTAACCAGATGTTCAAATTTACCTTGTCTACCATTCATTCATCACAACTTTTCATTGCTCCTGTTTGAAGAATCAGTGATATAGATATCTTACCTATGTTTAATTCATGGAAAAGAAAGAGTGTGTGACTGGTTCAAGGACTTCTGTATTTTATTCTGGAAACAATCAGAGGTATAGAGTTGATGGAATTCAACACAATTAGGCTGGACAGAACTTAAAAGTTGTGTTCTAGGTGATTGGTTAAAGAAACTTTGGTATATCTACACAATAGAATACTATGCAGCTGTCAGGAGAGATGAAGTCATGAACTTTGCTTCTAAATGGACATGGAGAGTATCATGCTAAGTGAAATGAGTCAGAAAGAGAGGGACAGACATAGAAGGACTGCACTCATTTGTGGAGTATAAAACAACATAACATGAGGGTGACACCAAAGGATAGTAGATACACAGGACAGATAGATTGCTCCATAGCTGGAAGCCTGCCTCATGAGCAAAGGGGAGAAGGCAGCCGGAATAGAGAAGGGATCACTAAGAAAAAGATGGCTGAAGGAATCGGTCGGGATGGGAGATGTGAGCAGAAAGTAGATAAAGGACCAAACATGATAATCTCTCAGGGTCTGTATTGCAAACCATAATTCCCAAAAGTAGAGAGAGATTATGGGGAATCATGTCTGCCATGGAGGCAGGGGGAGGGTTGGAAAGGGGGGTTATACTGGGGATATTGGTGGTGGGGAATGTGTACTGGTGGAGGGATGGGTGTTTGGTCATTGTGTGATTGTAACCAAAGCATGAAAGCTTGTAACTATCTCATGGTGATTCAATCAACTGTCACTATCACTGTCCTCCCGTTTTTCAATAAAATTAAAAAAAAAGTTGTGTTCTGATGCTTATTTTGTGCAGAAAGAGAGATGGTTTGCAATGCAGATCTATACTGATAATAGATGTTCTGGGCCTTGGAAAGCCCCTAATTGAAAGATTAGTAAAAAATGTTTTAGAAGGCAGGTTATTTGGGTATATTTATCAGAACGGGAGATATAGTATGAAGATATTGGTTTCTTATGTAAATGCAGTGGAGAAAATAATTATGATGGCCTCTCTTGTGGGTAACATTAGCCTCTGTCATTGGCTTCTTTGGGATTCGCTACAAGGACTAGTACTTGAAGTGGCTGAGAATAACAGTATCTTCCTTGTAAAGTTGATTTAGTAACATTATCAACTGCCCAGCCTGCCAGTAGCAGAGACCAATTTTTGCCTTTCACAGGACAACATGCATTAGGGAAACCAATCTACATGCTCTCACAAACACACATGCTCTGAATTTAAAGAGGAAGCAGAAGGAAGCTGGAGCAACAGGACAGTGGATAGGGTGCTTGCCTTGCTTTTGGCCAACCGGGCTTTGATCCCCAGCATCTCATATAGTCCCCTGAACCTGCCAGGAGTGATCTGTGAATATAGAGCCAAGAGTAAAGCCTTGGGTACTACTGGGTGTGGCCCAACCCAAACAAATACAAAAACAAAAAATAGGAAGTAGAAGGGCAATGTGTGTGGCATGAATGAAAATAATAATCAGCTAATGGGGACAGCACCACTATTCTGTGTTTCTTTTACTGTTTTGCTAGATTCTCTGTTTCTCTCTTCTCTCTCTCTCTCTCTCCTCTCCAGGGTTGGAGGGGTTCAGGTTGAACTATACTGTGCAATGCTCAGGGGCTTACTTTTGAGTATGATGTTTGGAATCATTCTTGATGGTTCTGGGGATTGAACTAGGATCAGTTGCATACAAGGCAAGTACCCTGTTACTATTTCCCCTGGCCCCTGTTAAGTTATTTTAATGAAAAGGATCATTAGAAAAAAATACACTACTATGATTTAGTAGGGTTTTTTTTTTTTGATTTAGTAGTTTTGTCCTATTGCTTTATCTTGTTTAGTTCTTATAACAATCTAGTGGAATGGGTTGGATAATAGCTCCATTAAAGGGATGAAAAGGTAGGAGGAGAGAGGCAAAGTCTGACATCCAGTGACTCCCAGATGATTACATGTGATGTCAAGACTTGGGTCTAGTTCTTTTACTAAACTGAGATAAGTCCAGAATGGGTTAGTGGGCATCTGTTGGCAACTGTGTGAATGAGTCTCCTAGCTTTCACCTTTGTCAGAGCCACTAGAGGATGTGAATCATTTTAACCTCCTGTACATCTTCAGTTCTCACCTGTGGACTTGAGAATAAGCAGCACTCTGCCAAGACAGAGGGGTACCATGAATGGTGCCTGCATGTCTGCTCCTTCTCATATATCCTAGGTAGGGAGGTATGTCCGGGCTCTTTTCCTGTGCTGCATTCCCAGAATTTTGCTAGAAGATGAAAAGTCGCCTGAGTATCAGAGATTCTAATACATGGAGCAGGTTGGGAAAACTAGAGAGAATGGTAGTAGGAGACTAATTTTCAGGGGGTGACTAGATGAGGTGTTGGAATTTTTTGATTTAGGCAAATATCTCTGACAAACATTTCTAGCTTTGGTGACAAGTAATAATTTTCTGAATATCTTCTCAAAGCATAAATCAGCTGATTCTCACAGGACATTCTCTTGGAGGCCAAGTAATACAGATGCTTTTGATACTGTTCTGAGAAAACTTGTCTGGTACATCTCATCCCCTCCAAAGCCTCCTCATCCTCCTTTCTTTTTTTTAAAACCACATCCGGCTTTGTTTAGGGGTTCTCAGGGATCACTCCTGGTGTCTTGAGGGACCATATAGGGTGCCAGAGATCAAGCCAGGGGCAGCGAGTTGCAAGGCAAATGCCCTACCTGCTGTGCCCTGGTCCCTCCCCCTCCAAAGCCCCTTAAGGAAGGTGGGTGTCTCTCTTTGTCTCGAGGAGCACCCTATGACTTGGTCTTTTTACATGTTTTGTGGGTTGGGGAATATCTATTTTAGCGTGCTTCTTCTGAGATAATCTATGTAAAGTACTCGAGCAGGTCCAGAGTGCCTGATTTTGTAATTATTACGCAGGTTCTTGTCATTGTTCCTGGGTGGGTGGGTGGTCACTGGCCTCCTTCCCTGCTGTTACCTGAGGGTCCCCTTGGTGAGTTCAGGGCTATCACTTTCCCCACCTCCCTCCTCACTGACACAGCCGTTTGAAGGCGTTGGATGAATAAAGGAGGGAACGGGTGTCACCAGGCTGGTTGGTTGGAAATCAGTGGCCGTTTATTCAAGTTTCACAGTATTAGTTATAGAGAAATCATGAAGGGTTGGGGGTAGCAATTACACATAGGTGTGGTTTAACATTATCATGAACAATGAACAGATGTGAAGCCCTCCTTCAGGGGAAGTTCTTACTAAAGGAAAAAATCTCGTCTAAGTGCTCAGCATTCTAGATTTCTGCTAAGAGATCCAAACAAGGGTGAAATTCCGTCTAAGGGTGCATTGCTTTCTCCTTTCCTTAGCCAGTATCTAGTTACTATTTAAAGAACATTGAGAGAGAGAGAGAGAGAGATAGAGAGAGAGAGAAGCAATATTTCACTTACATATACAAAATCCAGAGCCCTCAGAAGAATTTGACTTTACAAGTTACAGGGTCTGTCTGTATTGGGAATATAAGTGCTTAATAGACAGGGAACAAAGGCACAAAGGAGAGGTTAAACAGAGGATTGGGAGTGCATGATGGAATTGGGTGTGCCTTGGGAGCACTGTGGCGGGAGTAACTCAATAAACCTAAGCTCCCTGTGGGGAGGGGGGGAAGGGAAAGGACAAAGTCATGTTCTTTCTTCAAATGTTTAGAACTACAATCCAACAGGTTCTGAATAAAGATAAGGGGTTCTTATTATCTAGCACAGTGACTAGAACATAAATAGATACTCAATAAACATCCCATGAATGAGTGAATGAATTTTATGAAATAGGGTTATAGAGTAACAAAGGAAGGAAATGATTATGCTTTTCTTAGTCCTTTAATATTTGTAAATAACAAGTGTGTCATTATTGATATTTTCAGTGAGAAAAATTCTTTATTTAAAATAGGCTAGATGTTTTTACTAGATTAAATAAAATACTCTACAAATGAGAATTTTCAATCTAGTATACTAAAATCAGTAATACCAGTCAGGGATTGCCCACTAATTTCTGTTTAATAACATTTGAAGAAAATAGCTTATAATTCAGAGCCTATGCGCCTTTGCTTAAAGAAAAATTCCCAAAGTAGTGTCACATTTCCTGGATATAACAATGCCAAGCTAATATAAGAAATTCTATAAAGAATATAAGAACTTCTATTAAGAATAAGAAACCAGCTAAGAAATAGTGATTTTTTTTTCAAAAACAGAGTTCCTTTGATGTCATTAATCGTATTTCTGAATCATAGAAACAGTTACACATTTTATTTCAACAGGAGAAGGAAAGCAAGAAGGGGATTTACACTATTTCTAGCCACTTGTATATATTTAGAATTTTTAATGCCTTCGTTGCAGAAGGACAATAAGTGTTTTAGCAAACGTTTGGGGACAAAGCATGGGGCCTGGTGCATACAGAAAGTAGCTAATATTTCAAGGCTCTCAGGGCTCCCGGAAGCGCCATGCGTCATGGCTAATCTGGGGTTTCTGGGCCTTGTTTCCTGCCATTGGTGTGTGCTGAGTGTCTGGGGCCATGGTAGTATCCGTGGTAGACTCCCCCTGGAAAACCAGGGGTGTGATCAAATCAGGACTGTAGGTCTCATAAGCGTCAGCTATTCCTGGGGTCATTAGTGCGTCAGTGGCATCTGTAGTGACAGCGGGGAATCCCCAGTTCTGCCCGGCAGGGCCCCTGGCCTGGCTGGGAATATGGTCCTTGGGGGACGCAAGAAGCCCTCCTAGGGGTCCAAGTGCTGCTTCTGGAACGAAATCTCGGGCTTCAGGATCTTCAGGATCAGCACGTTGGGCCTCAGGCTGAGGGGAGCGCTGTGCACCTCCTTCTCCCTTCTCTGGGCCTTTGGTGGCCCCCACTGGGGTGTCAAACTCCAGAGTAAAGTCTCCGCCCATGGCTGGGTTCTGATTCTGTGGCATCCCCGCCAGGTTGGGTCGCAGGCTTCCCAGTCGAGAGTATATGGATCCATAGGTCATGGGGCTTGCTCTGCCACCCTGGGGAAAAATTCCCAAAGACACATTACTACTAGCTACTTATCTCACCCGATCAGATTTACCGACACCCTCTAAAACAGGACACGTCGGCTGACAACTTTATGTGAGCATTTAAGTGCTTTTGACATATAAGGAAGAAGGTTCTACATTTTCCTGGCATGGGGAAACCCACTTTTGTGAAAGGGAGACCCGTTTACTATGGTGGTGAGGGAGGAAGAAGAGGAGAAGCAAGGCAGAAGCAAGAGCAGAAAACACTTAGAGTTATTTTTTTTCTTAATTAGAGGCCAACCCAGTGATGCCTCAGGGGTCTGTGGACCATTTGTGGCAATATGATTCCTTCGGAGTTTAGTGATGAGTCTAGAGGTCTTGGGGGCCACCAAGACCATCCATGCCACTTGGTCTCTCTGGCACCTGAGATAAAAAGAAGCAACCGAATTGGGAAACCCCGTAAGCCCAACAAACAAATGGATTCATATTTGATTTGTCTCTCTCAAAGCAGATTACTCAGGCGGAACTGAAATATTTCCTGTGAATAATTAGAATTCTAGAATTGACGATATTTCCTTTTTTACTACCTTTGCTGTCAAAAATTTCAGAATTCAAATCTAGGGCTATTTACAGCACTTGTGCAGGGCTTTGTGGCTTACAAGTCTGCATTCTCATTTCCTTATAACCATGACTCACTTTAAAATCCGTCTTAAATTTTTGTTATACTTATTATGTATTTTTCATAAGTTGCAAAAAAATCTTTGGAGAATGAGGCAGAATATACATGAGTTAGAACTATAAGAAGAACGAAGGGCATCAACACTACTGAAATTTTAACCAGTTATTCAGATTTTATGTAGACACAGTACTCTTTTCCCTCTTACTATCTGTCTCTACTAATTCCAGGGGATATATCCTGCAGGGTGGCCACTATGAATCTCCGGGTTAGGCTAAGGGCAAGCCTTTTTCTTTCTCTTTAGCTCTACTACATTATTGCATGATTTGAGAGCAACTGCACTTTTGTCTCTCTTTTCTAATGATTAAATCATGAACTTCTTGACCTCAGGCACCTTATTTGATCTATCTTGCCTTTATTGTACACTATGTGCAATAGCTTATAGAAGTAATTCAACAACTTTGAAATGTGAGTTTTATTTTGGCAATCGAATTGATTAGTTTTCTACTTGATGATGATATATTAATTCAGGATGGTTTTTGTTTTGTTTTGTGCTCCAGCAAACATGTCAGGCAGAAGTTTCTAAGGAAGAAGTCGAATTGTGTGATCTCAAATCTTAGCCTGGCTGCTTGGTTCAGAATGATGTAACATTTTGAACTTGTAACAGGTGTGAATAATGATAACAGCATAAAAAGGTACGGAAATAAACTTATTGTTGTACTTTGAGTTTTGTAATAATCACACTTAAATTTTGGTTACTTTTCTGGGAGGGAGGGGTTGGGCATATGGTTTGGAGCTAGAGTTTCAGCCTTGCATAAGGGACTTGGGTTTTACTTCTGCCACCAAAACAAACAAAGTCCTATTAAAAAAAAACCTGGTTAATTTTATTTTCCTCCTTTCAATTCTGAGGTCTAAATTAATGCTTAATTAGTTGTTTGGGAAGATTATGTGGTCTGAGAAGGAACTGTGATCTTCTACACATGTATCTTTTTTGGGTTTGGATGCTGATGGCTTTTCCTTCTTTCATTTTATTTAATTATTGCTTTGTGTTTAGGCTGTACCCAGTTGTCCTCAAGGCTTATACCTGATTCCACACGGCTGGTGGAACTTGGGAGACTATATGAGGTACTGAGAATTGAACGTAGCTTTGTTGTATGCAAGACAAGTGCTGTACTATCATTCAAGGGTCAAGTGATACATCTATGCAAACAAGGACCACCTTGTTGATGATTTTTTAGGGTGGATTTTCCCTTGATTATAATAAGGAAATGGGGCAAGAATGGTCATCATTCAGAAATGACTATGTGATAAAATTGATAACCTCTTTTGTGGACTGCTTCACAATCAAGCTTTTAGCTTTGGAGTGGAGCAATCTGAGTTTCATGCTCTAAATTCAGTAACTTCATGGCCAGTTCCTCTTGTATGTAGACCATTAAGAGTTACTCTTAATCCACCAACAGTTTTATAAAAAGTTGAAGATATTACTCACTGGCATTTCTTCTGAGCTCATGAAACCAAGTCTTCCAGGAGCATTCTGTTAAAAAATAAATACCATACCATTATACTATGAACCAACCACCATCTGTGAGCTACTGAAGACAAAGTTGAAAATCACTGAGTTTGTCTTAAGCCTTAATATTAATTCTGTGAACCATAATACCCAAAAGGAGAGAGAGAATAAGAGGGAATGTACCTGCCACAGAGGCAGGGGGTAAGAAGGGGTGGGGTGGCGGGAAGGTTGCTGGTGGTGGAGAATGGGCATTGGTGGAGGGATAGGTACTCAAACATTGTATGACTGAAACATAATCACAAAAGTTTGTAGATCAGAAACTGTATCTCATGGTGATTCATTATAATAAAGTTTAAAAAATTAATGCTGTGTTCAGAGGCAAAGCAAAGTGGAGCAGTGAGTCATTATTGAATAAGTTTAGCTTGCTCGAATAATTCTGATTAAAAATTTATCTTTTAATTATCTTTAAAAGAAGTGTGTCAGAATTACCTGAATAGTAAGTGTTCCTCTTTGTCATTTTAGTTGCTAATTCAGAGAATGTGAAATCTATTATTTGAGGCCTGAGTTTTAAAAACTTCCCCTTAAAACATTTAAAGATAATATATATATGCATATATATATATATATATATATATATATTTGCTTTTTGGGTCACACCTGGCGATGCACAGGGGTTACTCCTGGCTCTGCAGTCAGGAATCACCCCTGGCGGTGCTCAGGGGACCATATGGGATGCTGGGAATCGAACCCGGGTTGGCCCCGTGCAAGGCAAACGCCCTACCTACTGTGCTATTACTCCAGTTCCTAAAGATAATATTTTTAATAAGGTATTAATAAAAGACTTACCAATTGGTTTGCTCCATAGGACATGTAATATATTCCTGGATAAAGCTGAATATAAATGCAGTAGTTATTAAAATATACATTTCCAAGTGATAAAGTTTTAAGTACATTACAAACAGAAGAATTATTAAAAATGAAAACTTACTGAAGATGGCTTATTTTGTGACAGAGGCCCCCGAGATATCAAACGGGCAATGTGGAACAGCTTTAAGTGTAGAAAACAGAATAAATAATTCATATCTGCTGCAGCACAGGCAAATCTCCCATTACAGTTATTTCCAAGAGTTATATGAAACACATGTCCAGATGGATTAGCAGTAAAATAATATTTTATAGCTTAGAAAACAAAGAAACCCACTACACTTTAAATTAATAGATAAATAAAACAAATAAAAAATTTCACATTTATATCTTGAAATATATAATTTATTTTCTAAAAAAGTATCACAATGATATTTGTACTTACCGATGGACCTTGGGGTTCAGCAAAGTCTACTCCAGGACCTTGGGGCTCAGCAAAATCCGTTCCTGGACCTTGGGGCTCAGCAAAATCCATTCCTGGGCCTTGGGGCTCAGTGTAATCCATTCCTGGGCCTTGGGGTTCAGCAAAATCCATTCCTGGGCCTTGGGGCTCAGTGTAATCCATTCCTTGTAGCTGCAACATAGAAAAATGTTAAACTGACTAAATAGCTAGGCAAAGTGAACCAAACACTCATAATTATGATGAAACAATATAAAGCATAAATCAAAAAATTTCTATTGTTTTCTTTCATTTGGCCTGGGAGGCACAACTCGAAAGATCATAATGGTTTTTATTGATATGACTCAAACCTGTGCTCAGAAAGGTGCAGTGTGTAAATCATGGATTTTCTACATTTTGAAGAGTAGAAAGTAGTGAATTTCGGAACAAGAGTAGATTCCTAGTTTATTTGAATGCTGGTCCAGCCATTTAATTTTTGTGTAACACTAGGGAATTTTACAACCTCCCAAAAGTCTGCCTTTCTGTTAAAAAAGATGACAATATCTATTAGTCTAAGACTGTATTTAGATGACCCGGAGGATTGTTAAGAGTTTATAACACACTTTTACATGGCGTCTTTTCTGTCCATTGTGATTTTTCTTAGTATTATTATTACAAGATACTTTTGCACAATTATCTTCTCTGCCGCCAGAATATTAATAATGCAAAGTACTATTTGCTGTATGGAGGGACCAATCACTGCTCTCATTACTTCTGATATGAAAAAGAACACAGGAATAGGTAGCTCAGACTTCTCAGGCTGAATTAATTCCTTCGAAAGCTAGCCTTCTTTCTCTCTCTCTCTCTCTCTCTCTCTCTCTCTCTCTCTCTCTCTCTCTCCCTCCCTCCCTCCCTCCCTCCCTCCCTCTCTTCCTTCCTTCCTTCCTTCCTTCCTTCCTTCCTTCCTTCCTTCCTTCCTTCCTTCCTTCCTTCCTTTCTTGCAACTAAAAGATCAAGTTTTATAAGCACAGAATCTTTCAGAATCAAAGACCTGTATAGCCAAAGGACAGAAATGGCTGTACATTCTACTCCTGGATATGTATATGGCTCCAAATGTATTTATATTTTCATGTGTTATGGGTGAGGACCCTGGTTACTGAAATGTGCCTGATTTTCTTTCATTCACTTACTCGATTTGACGCCAGAGAAAGGAATTACCTCTTCCTTCGGTGGCATATCTGATGGTGCTATCTGCTGTTGAACCATTGGTCCCTCTGCTTGCTGCAAGGGTGGCTGTCGATGATGGTAAACCGGAGGCTGAGGCCCTCCCTTCTGGGCAGGGTTCTGGACTGCGGTTGCAGCGGTGGGCGGGAGGAAAGGTTTCTGTCCCGGCTGGTGAGGCTGCAGGGATGGCTGAGATGGGAGAGGTGGGGGATGCACAGGCAAAGAATATTCATACTGCAGAGAAATTTGAAAGGAGCGTCAGGAAGGGCTGGTTTGTGGGAGGGATGTGGTGTCTAGAATTCCTAAAGCAAGAGGATTTGGGTAATTGTTTACTTAGAAGGGAGTCAAGTGACTTTCTGGGAAGCTGTGTTTATAGAAGAAGCACCCGTTTGGGTAAGGTTCACGTTAGTGTGTGTATTTATTTCCTCTGGGACCACCCCAGCTCATGACGATGGGAAGTTATGTGGAGACTGGGTTGTTCCCTCCTCTGGGTTCCCATAGCTGTCTCTATTGATCTTTAATTTATCACTTCCTCATTCGATTAAAATTTTTCCTAGTATTTTTTTTTTTGCTTTAGTCAATGGAGAAATTCATGACCTTTATTTATCTTTTAGCTCCAGGGGTCATACTTTTAACGTCAATGAAATGAGAGAGGGTAATTAACATTAATCAAATGCTTTCCTTGCAAACAATTGGAAATATTTTCACCACTATTATAAATTTTTGTCCCACTAAATGTAATTTGGTGGGCAGTACTGTGGAAGGTCAGATGGAATGAAAACATGACTGTTTTTAAGGTCCCATGTTTTGTTGCTTCTCTTTGACAGTACCTGTGAAGAGTGACTTTTTATCATTTTGAATTAGTTTCCAGCTCCCTGAAGAGGTACAGGAATTTGCCAACAAGCTGGCCCTGCTTTTCTCTTCAACTGTATCTGTTTCTGAAGGCTTGTAGCATTTTTGTTACTTATCCCTCCCAATTTAGTAGCTAGCATATATTGTCTTGTCCGAGCTGCAATTTCATTAAGAAATTGGAGACATTATTAAATGCGTTCATTTTACCCTTAATTTATAAAGTGCTTGATAGATTAAGTACCTAAGAATTAGTGATTACTGTTGATAGATTTCTTGAAATTAGTAGAGCTGACATGTTTAAAGTGAGATGCTTCTTATTTTAAGTGTGTCTTTGAAAAATCATTTTGGCAATTGGGATTAAAAGGAGGATTTCCCAGGATATATCCTGCTTTCATTTTAAAAAGAGGTTTTTGTTTTGTTTTGTTTTTTGAATTCTTGCACCACACTAAGTGGAACTCAGGGGCTTCTTCTGCCTTGGTGCTTGCTCCTGGTGGTGCTCAGGGGATAATATGGAGCCGTGGAAAACCTGGGCCTCCAACATGCAATGCATGTGCTCTGATCTTTTGAACTACATCACCAGCCCCTATGATATTGCTCTTATTACGAATATCTTCAACACTAACCTCACTTCTACTTGAAAATATATATAAAGATAAAAAATTTTAATTCATTTTATTTTCAAATTTTCTAAGTATAAGAAGCAATGATATATGGAGCTGGAGAAACTACATGGGTAGATTTTTCACATGGCTGATGGAGGTTCAGTCCCCAGCACCCCATATGGTCCTCTGAGCACTGCCCTGAATGATCTGGAGTCCAGAGCCAGGAGTAAGCCCTGAGCACTGATTGGTGGGGCCACAAACCAAGCCGAGACAAAAAGAGCGATGATAGGTTTGAATCTTATTGGAATCTAGATAATTCCAAGAAGATAAGATAAATTCAATAAATTTTTGTTTATTGGTCACACTAATTTGAGATGGTTTATAAAACATAGAGAAGGCAATCAAGGAAAGATTTTAAAGCTTGAAGTCCCAAACACATTGGCACAATTAACTTACCTGTTGAGTTTCGTGTTCTTTTGGTCTCATCCATGGGAAAGAGGAATGTGGTGGAACAAGTCCTGGCAGCCACAAAGAGTTGAATGATTTTCCAAAACCAAATCTTGAATACTATAGACGTGAATCAGAAATAACAAAGCATGTTTTTGTTGCAGTATGGCTTAAACCTGGTTTTAATTTTCAAAAAATCCATAGAATGTGTAGTGATAGCAAAAGTAAAAGTGGTGTTGGTTAATATGGCTAGGTAAGCATTCTCTTCTAATAGATTTATATTTTATTCTGAGTCAGATTTTCTAATCTCTTTGAGATTTAATTTTAAGATCATTGTGGATTTTATAATGCAATAAATAGTTTAAAAAAGAATCTTTCTTACTACAGAAAATTCAGTGTTATTTTTATTTTCCTTTGTTATCCCATTCCATGATTTTATTTTGTTTTTCATCATCTCAATTCCTTATTTGATGTTATTTGTTCTTCCAGTGTTTAGATGTTAACTATTTACAAATTTCTGAATAACAAGACTATTTCTAATATCACTATTACTACTACCACCATTATTTTGCATCATTATAAGAAATATTTAAAAATTAATTTACCTGAGAAAGCATGTTTAATCCCTGCAAACTTCCCAATTGTCTCATTGTCTGTAAAGAAATAAAAAGTGAGTTAATGTTTATATGTATATCTCTTTTCTGTGTGACACACCTGATTTCTCAACATATATTATTAATAGCACCAAGTTTGGGATGGGTTAATAGGAATATAATTATAGCGTACATTTCATTGGAAGAAGAAATGTTATATTTGATAGATTCATTGTTATTGATACAAAAATATTGAGATTTCCATCATTGAGAGAAAAATTATTTACTTGAGTTGACGTTAAAATATGGAAAATAGTTCATTCAATTGAAATATAAAATAATTGTGAGGACATTACTTCATTAACTCTTTTTATCACTACCTTTTATAATTCAAACTGAAGAACTTAAAGAGAAACAGGCAAACAAATCAATTCTCATTTCATTCTCAAATAAAAAACCCTCAAATCAATAAAGTTACTGTCAGTTCAACATGTCAACTTCACTTTTAGTGCGAAGACCTTTAGAGTGCTGTGAATTGAGTTTAAGCTATAAAGTGAGATAGAAAATAACTCAGTGAAACCAGCACTTAATCTACCACATTTTTCATGTGAGGTGGCATTTAACCATTCTAAGTGTAATTGCTCTCAGATTGTCACTGTATGAGGACATTCCAAAGTCTTGTGACAATTTTTAACCTCATAAATATTCTGTCCATAAATGTTAATATTTTTTATGATCTGAACAAGTGATGGTATTCAGCTGAAATTTTCTAATAGAATGAGTATCAAAACAAAAACAAATAAGTTGGAGAAAAACCAGAAAACTAACCCCTAGATTTGGTGAAACTGTGGTAGTAATTGAAGGGAAACGAGAGAGGAATGGGAGGTAGTAGTAGAGGGTGGTGGCATGGCACTGGATTGCTGGTGTTGTTGAGTGTTGTACTAGACACATATAGGGGTGTGACGCTAACCCCCAAACTCCATAATACTGTAAACCAATAATAAGTCAATAAAGAACATATTAATTTTGATAACTGCAGTATAATAAATGCACACTATTTAGTTAATACTTTAGCACAATGTTAATGCTCTTACAGGAGTTCTTATAAGCAATACAGTTTGTAAGGTAAATGATCTGTAGGACAACTTTATAAGGTATTATAAAGGGACCAAATAGAAATAATTAATCATTTTAGAACAGTGTGTCTTATTTAATGCAGCAATTTTGTCAACATATTACTTAACATATACAATCTATTATTTGTAGCTATTATGCATTAGTGTTGCAATGCCCAAAGAAATATCCCAAAGTGTGAAACTCCAGTAAAATGTTAAGATGCGGTTCTACTAAAAATCAAAAACTTCTCTAGGATTACAGAGGAGAAGAGTGACTTACTTTTGACTAGAACAAAACAGAAAAAACAGATCAAGTGTTTTTCTTACCTGGAACACACTCATCTAAAGGTTATTTGTAATTGCTGTGACAATACATACCTCAAGGCTCAAACTAGCCATGCCTGGCATCCCAGGTTGCTTAGGAAATACCTAAATGGAAGTAAGAATAATTTTGAGTACCTTTCTGGTGAAAGAATGTATTCCTGAAAAATGGAGACAGAAAGCAAACCGGATATAAGGACAAGTTCAGATAACACAATGATAGTTGTTCTTTAAATGACTTGAGCTTTGGGGCATAATGAAGAGTAATTTAAATTACCTGGGGAATTATTCAATTTCTTCATTTGGGGGACACACATGGTGGTGCTTAGGGCTTACCTATGACTCTGTGTTCTGGGATCACTCCTGGCAGGGTTTAGAAGACTATCTGGTATAGTGGGGATTGAATCCAGTAGGCCAGGGGCAAGGCAAGCTCTTTACCTGCTATACTTTTACTCTTGCCCTAATTTAATACAATTCTTAACAATTTTGTTTTCACACAGATTATCTACTCTTTGAATCTTAATGCTGTGTTGTTTTGCAAGTGAAGTTCAGTTTGAAAGTGATAGTGAAAATAAATTAGAAGTAAAACAAAGCAATAAAATAGAGAACTAAGAGTATGTTCTTAAAAAAATAATCCTAGAACAGCAAAGGGAAAAACTTGGATCAATATTTATGTGTATGTGTGTGTGTATTTAATAAGCCGAGTCTTTGGTTTATTGTATGTGGTATGGGATCTTGGCATTAGGTAAAACTAAACTTGCCTCCCATTCAGAGGCCTTGACTCTATCTTCCATCATCTTTGTCAAAAATTATTGGTTTTTTTTTTTGAGTTTGTGGACCACACCCAGTAGTGTTTAGGGGCTACTCTTGATTCTGTGCTCTGGGGTTCTGAGAGGTGTTTTGGGGGGAATCTTATGTGCTGAGAATTGAATTGAGGTTGGCTGCATACAAGAATCATCTTAACCTCTATAGAATCTCTGTGATCTATGAAAGATTATTTTGTCTATAAGACTTGTTGATAGGTATTTATAATTTTTGAATATTGTCAAATGTATTTTCCCTTAAATACATTCTAGCACCAAGTACTGCTATATTTAATGTGTTCATTAAAAAGTTAAGCATGAAAGATAAAAGGCATAAAAAGGCACATGAAAAAATGCTCTTCATCACTAATCATCAGGGAGATGCAGATCAAAACAACAATGAGATATCATCTCACACTATAGAGACTGGCACACATCCAAAAGAACAAAAGCAATCAGTGTTGGCGTGCATGTGAGTAGATGGGTACTCTCCTTCACTGCTGGTGGGAATGCCGACTGGTTCAGCCCTTTTGAAAAACAGTATAGACACTTCTCAAAAAATTAGAAATTGAGCTCCCATTTGACCCAGCAATACCACTACTGGGAGTATATCCCAGAGATGCAAAAAAAAAATAGTTGAAATGACATCTGCACTTGTATGTTTATTGCAGCACTGTTTACAATAGTCAGAATCTAGAAAAAACCCAAGTGCCCGAGAACGGATGACTGGTTAGAGAAACTTTGGTACATCTACACAATAGAATACTATGCAGCTGTTAGAAAAGATGAAATCATGAAATTTGCATATAAATGGATCAACATGTAGAGTATCATGCTAAGTGAAATGAGTCAGAAAGAGAGGGACAGACATTGAAGGACTACTCTCACCTGTGGAATATAAAGTAACATAATGGGAGACTAATATCTGAAGATAGTAAAGATAAGGACCAGGAAGATTGCTCCAAGCCGGCCTCACATGCTGGGGGAAAATACAGCTGAGATAGAGAAGGGACCACCAAGTAAAGGATGCTTGGAGGGCTTGCTCTGCATGGGAGATGCACACTGAAAGTAAACTATATATGGAACATGATGGCCACTTAATACCTGTATTGCAAAGCATAACACCCAAAAGGAGAGAGAGAGAGAGAGAGAGAGAGAGAGAGAGAGAGAGAGAGAGAGAGAGAGAGAGAGAGAGAGAGAGTCAACAGGAATGTGCCTGCCACAGATGCCGGCGGAGGGGGAGTGGGTGAGGTGGGGCGGAAGGGGTTGGGTGCGGTGGGAGGGATACTTGGAACATTGGTGGTGGAGAATGGGCACTGGTGGAGGGATGGGTACTTGATCATTGTATGACTGAAACATAAGCACGAATGTTTGTAAGTCTGTAACTGTACCTCATGGTGATTCATTAAAAAATAAAAAAATTAAAATAAAAAATAATGGAAAAAGAAGGTCCACTAATCTCTTTTGAAAATAAAAAGCTTAAAAGACAAAAAAAGTTAGGCATATACTTATAGTAATATTATTTTTAATATAGTTAAATACTATGAGAAAGAAATTAAGAGTGGGAATTGGAATTAGAGAAAATTGAATTTTTCAGTGTCTCTAGTCCTTTGGGTAGTCTCACTATCTATAATTAAAAGATTTTACTTATTTTTAGGGTTCTGAGACTAACTTTACAATGTTCAGGGTTTATGCCTGGCTCTGCCTCAGGATTTACTCCTGGAGGTGCTTGGAACACCATATGGGATGCTGAGAATAGAACCCGGATTGACTTTGTGCCAGGCAAACACCTTACCCACTGTACTATTGCTCTGGCCCTGTATCTAGGGTTAAAAGATTTTAATGCTTTCATTTATACCACAGATATTTTTGGAATACCCTCTAATGTACTTGGATAATTTTTCCTTTATGAGTAATAATTTTAGGAATACTTTTTCTGAGCATGTTATATATCTTTCATGACATTTTTATGGAAGTACAACTCTATATTCTGAGTCATGGTGCAAATTTCTTTCAATATTTCACATTTGAAAATGTATATAGGGAAATGAGTCAGAAATGTTTAGCAAATAAGTAAAGAAAAAGTTTAGCTATACGAGTGGTTGGAGAGAGAGAAAGAGAGAGACACACACAGATGAAAATATTTTGGACAGATTCAACTACAGAATACAGGATACTATGACTTTGTCTTTTATCATGGATCAAGAACAATATATACATAACTGTTCATACACATGACATATATTTTCCATGCCAAAGAAAAAGAAAAACATCTGATTGACCAGCAGGGAGTTGGCAATCATAAGCAATTGGTCTACTTCAGTGGATTTACTGACACAAGTGCGGATCAGTCGAGAGTCCAAGGAAGTCAAGGTGTTAGACTGATGGTGGATGGCTAATGCTGACCCTCATGTCAGTATCAGATAAAAGCAAGCTAGACAGTCAACTGTGACTTTTGACTCCTTCAGACCAATGGCACTGAATAAATTAAAATGAGTCCATGTGGATGGATGGTCTTTCAGCCACTGGTCTTCAATATTGTGAGGTCTTTGACTATGCTTTTACCAGCATGCCCTGAAAGACTGTCTTACCGGTACTGCAGAACTCATTTCAAGGAGGCACAGGATCAGTATCAGGTCTTTCATTTTGATAAGTGGGATCTGAAACAGTTGTGTTGGAGAATTAAATCAAATATATATATTTATTTGAAAATTTCAGAATGGTTTAAACACAATATTTCAAATGATCAGAACCTCTGAGATTCCAAAATACCATGTTTAGAAACAAAAACTTAAAAAAAAAACAATTGACTGTTGCTAACCAATTGATTAGTTGGAATGGATTAATAAACAACAAAAACACCTAAGTAAAAAAGCAAAGCCAAGCAAACCCTATGTATTTTTTAAAAAATTGAATTATAACCTAAATGAACAGGTAGCAATAAATTTCATGCATATTCTTTAAATATTTTCATAAAATTAATTATAAATTTAAAAATCTCTTCTGTTGTATAAGACCTTATCTATTAAATATTATTTCTAGAAGTTTATACTTAGTTTTCTTCCATAGCAAAAGTTAAAATACATTTTAAATGTAATGCAACAATCATTTCATAACTAACTTTTATTTGCAGATATGTGTAGTATATAATTCTCTTTTAAAGTTATCTAGATTACCATATCAAAAAGTATCTTATTCAAGTATGAACAAACAGAATACTTTTTCTTTGATATTAGTGGAAAATGTCTCTAATTGAGTTTTTGTCTTTCTAAGATAGTTATTTAAATTTATTCTATAGGTTCAAAAGACACTACTGTTTCATAATTGGAAGACTGATTAGTCAATAAATTTGATTATCTTCTAATACTGTTCTAAATTAGTCACTGTCACTAATAATCACAAGTAGTTTTTAATTTTCCATAGACTTTTTCTTTATCTTTTTCTTTCATCCTTTCTCCTTTCTTTCTTCCTTCCTTCCTTCCTTCCTTCCTTCCTTCCTTCCTTCCTTTCTTCCTTCCTTCCCTCTCTCTGTCTCTCCCTGTCTCTCTCTTTTTCTTTCTTTCTTTCTTTCTTTCTTTCTTTCTTTCTTTCTTTCTTTCTTTCTTTCTTTCTTTCTTTCTTTCCTTCCTTCCTTCCTTCCTTCTTTCCTTCTTTCGCTGGAAACTGGAAGGGTATTCTATATGTCTTCTCTGGAACACAATAATGATTTACAATAAGCTATTACTCAGCTTACATTGACAGGTGAAGATAAATCCTCTACAAAAGTTGCCTGGAGAGAGGAAGACAGAACTTACAGGAATTACATGGAAATCAAAAAATCACAGTTTACCTGCAATGCTGGCATGCACTGTGCTCTCAGGGCCTGGTGATGCCAACCAAGATAGTTCTAAGAAAGAAGATTATTTTTTTTTTTCTGGACTGTGCCTGGGACTCGCTCTGTATCTCTAATTCAAGGAAGACCTAAAAACCTTATTTAAAGTGCCAGTCCACCAATCAAAATGAAGCAAAATGAGGAATCACTCCCTACCTTCTGTAATTAGCCCACACCTTACTACTGCATGCAAGGACATTGGCTCAGTAGAGTGTCATTATTTTTAATTGTAACTCAGGCCCTGTACTTATTTAGAGAACTCGATTATAGGGAAGGCAGTCAGGGAATAAAGGACACAAACTCTGAAGACAATCATTTTGGTGAGCTGGGGGGAAATATATGTGAAATAGGTGCAAAATAAGACATTATTTCTTTTGTGCAGGTTTTTATCTACAGATAAAACTGGTGACACCATGTCCTATGTTTGCTGTGAGGAAAATAACTTCCTTTCTTCTTCCAATATACACATAGTCTAGAAGGAAATATTTAAAAGCTCTCTGGGCCTGAAAGAGAGGATAAAAATATTCAATGGATAATGTGTGTGCTATTATTGTTTTTTCTTCTCAGGATTTCCTAGGTATTTTTGTATATGAAGATAATACACTAGAGACAACCAGATTTTTGTAAAAAATTTTATTTGAAAGAATTATTTCCAGCTAAAACTCTTGTGTGTATTCTTTGGGGTGAAAGTGGAAAATCAAAATGCTCTTTATGAACCAATCAGATTTACAGGTACAACTCTCAGTTTATTCTCTGGATGAAACTATTTTAAGCATTTAGTATCAAGACAATTTAGTGAGTTATCTTTGAATTTTAAAAGGGGCTGGAGTGGTAGCCAACCTTGTGCAAGGCTGCCTCGGCCAAGCAGGGTTCGATTCCTCCGCCCCTCTTGGAGAGTCCGGCAAGCTACTGAGAGTATCTCACCTGCATGGCAAAGCCTGACAAGCTACCCGTGACATATTTGATATGCCAAACACAGTAACAAGTATCACAATGGAGACGTTACTGGGCCCTCTCCAGCAAATCGGTGAACAACGGGAGGACAGTGCTACAGTGCTATAAAAGGCTAATATTAGCATAGATGGGTTTTTCTCTTAATAAGAACAAATAAGAAACAAATAAGAAAGTCTTAGATTTGCATTGAACTGCTGCTTTTTTAATTTTTCTACCCTGAAATTTCTAGAGTTGTGATTTCAGAGGTGTTAAACATAAGTATTTAGGAATTGTTTTTTAAGAAGCGATGAGTCAGTATGCTTTTTAGGAAAAGTATGGATTTTGTAAATTACAGGAAACATTATGAAGAAGATAGTATTTTGGAGGAAAGATGCATGCATACCTAAGCATAAATCTAACTTTTCAAGCAAAGTTATAATGAAACTTCCTAAAAAAATAAACAAACCAGCACTCATTGATAAAAGAATTATTTTTTTAGGATGTAAGGATATGAGAAGAGTGAGTACGTTTTTTTAACAACAAAAAATTATTGAAACGAAAGTATTATTTTGGATTATCTTCTCCTCCATTTTTCTCTTCCTCTCTATTCCTGCTGTGGCTCTTCATTTCTCTTAGCCTCAATTTCTTCCTCTCCAATATAAGGATAATCATGTATTACTACAGTTTTCTTTTGATCATTGATGGGATGATGAACATGAACTCTGCTTATAGTCAGTGCTCTATGAATAGATCAATCAGTTGTCCTTTGTGGGAAAAGCCTACATGAAACTTAAGAACCACAGAGACGTTTGTGTGTATGTGTGTGTGAGTGTGCATGTGTGTGCACACATGCGCGTGTGCACAAGCTTGCTTGAAGAAGGAGTAGTATTGGGAGGTCTACATGTTCCAAGGAAGGCAGATGAAGGATTTGGTGGAAGACATTTCTTCCGCATGGAAGCATATACTGAATACGTAGGATTAAGCTTCCTAGATAGTTGCTAAATAGTGAAATGATGTGTGTGTGTGTACAGATGTATACATGTGACATTTATGGTTTATGGTGATGATCTAAATATTAATATAATGATGTTTTGCTAGGGTTTATATGTTTTGCTTTGCTCAAAAGTCAAGTGTTACATATCAATCATGCATTGCGTTCTTTTTTTGGTCTTCTTTTTAATACCAAAAAAATTACACTTAATCTAGAATTAGTTCAGATATTTATTCAAGATGTTCTCTCTGTTAATTTTTCCAACGTTCTACAAATCAACATTAAACTTACCCTCTTAAAACAGTGATTTCCAACATTTCCCTGCCCTACCCAAGATTATGTTTGGCTACTAAGTAGAATTTATTGATTAGTATAACTGCAAGTGGGCTGGAGCGATAGCACAGCAGGTAGGGAGTTTGCCTTGCACGTGGCCGACCTGGGTTTGATTCTTCTGTCTCTCTCGGAGAGCCCAGCAAGCTAATGAGAGTATCCCGCCCGTGCAGCAGAGCCTGGCAAGCTCCTTGTGGCATATTCCATATGCCAAAGACAGTAACGACAAGTCTCACAATGCAGACGTTACTGGTGCCCGCTCGAGCAAATGGATGAACACTGGGAGGTTAGTGCTACAGTGCTACAGTAACTGCAAGTGACAGCTCATTTGTTCTCAGGAGTGCAGGGACAAGAAGATAATTAGGGATGTACTGGACCCTTAAGTTATCTGGAATGAGTCTTTTTTCAGTCAGCATGTCTTTAAATGTGTTCACCTTAAATTTAGTAAAATGCCAATTTCGGAGATGTGGGTCTTCTAGTAGTTGAGAACCTTGAATTTGGCCCTGGGGGGGGGGGGTCCCTAATTTGCATGCTTTTTGTTCTGCAGTTGGGTGCAAGAATTTTACCATGTGGATTTTGCCATGTGGATCCCAATCACTGTGAACTGAGATTCCGCAACCACCCTGCAAATCTGTCAGGAGTATAACCTGGGGACAGCATGTGGGCAAGTATGACTATCCCATGGCAAGAGCAGTCTTCAGTGTTCCTTAGGGCAGTCATTTCTTAACCTTTTTCTGATTGTAGCACCCTTCTGCCCTTTTATCCTTCCTGTGACTTCCCTGTCTCACTTGATTACATGCCTAGTCATGTGTTATGAACCCATTTTTACAAGAATTTCATCTGTGGTCTGGATAAAACATCCCAGGGGCTTCAAGAACCATGTGGCCCATGGGTGAGACATGCTGCCTTTGGGCAACTGCAAGTATTACAAAGAAAACTGCTGTTCGAAGGAAGCACTTCAGACCCTTCAGGGAAAGAATATTGTTGCCTATAGTGGCTGTAATCAAGAAATTTTAAATAAATCCCTATGGTTACAGTGAAAACATCTTTTGTAGCCCTGTCAAGTGGTCCATTCACCTTTTAAGTCTTAATGCTCACCTTATGTGTGATTTTTCTTTTGGGTTAGTGATAAAGATTGTCCACATGAATTGAAGTCGGTTTCCTTAAATCTGAGAGTTTTTATTGTGGGTTTATGTTACTAAGTAAGTGAAGATGATCAAATCAACCCACCTTGGGGTTCCCAGTTGGTTTCCTCAGATTATTTTGAGCTGAGAACAATGATGATTTTGGCATCTAAAGAAACATTTAAAAACAATTTTTTTTGCATTTACTCTAATCCTTGTTGTGTCCTTCCCTTAGTTGAAGAAATGATTGCAACACCTTTTTATTACTTAGACTCAGGTCCTAGAGAAACATAGCTTGGGAATTCACAAAGGTACAGGGTTATCTGTAAACCTGTTCTCCTGCTGAGAAACTCTTTACTTTGCGAATAAGATAGTCATTCCATCCTTGTCACATAACATCACCCTTTTCTCTTCTGCTTGCCCTGGATGCCCTCCTTGTTCCTTGATTAAGGGTTTAAATCCTGCTCTCCCCAGCTCAATATTCATGTGCTGTAAAATTCACTTTTTTACTTCGTGAATCTGTCTGATGCTCTTTTGATTAGCTGGTTTGCTGGGATGAACCTAGAGTTGGGTTTATCTCAAAGGGGGGAATTGGGGGAACAGAGGAATTGACTTTTCTCTGTTTCCCAACATTAGCAAGTATACTCCTAAAATATAACAAATGAACTGTCACTGTCACTGTCCTCCTGTTGCTCATCGATTTGCTCGAACGGGCCCAGAAATGTCTCCACTGTGAGACTTGTTGTTAGTGTGTTTGGCATATCGAATATGTCACAGGTAGCTAGCAAGGCTTTGCCACGTGGGTGGGATACTCTCAATAGCTTGTCAGGCTCTCTGAGAAGGGTGGAGGAATTGAACCCCGGTAGACTGGATTGGCCGCTTGCAAGGCAAACACCCTACCCGCTGTGCTATATAGCTCATAACAAATGGAAAAATGTTTCAATTTCAAGGAAATTCGGGAATTATATGAGTGTATAAATGAGTTTCTAATAATGATAATAGATGTTAAGGAAGTTACTGCAGCTGAAGGAAACTATGTAATGTAGATCAGGACTGAACATAAAGATCAACTAGGCTGGAGTGATAGTACAGTGGGTAGGGCGCTTGCTTTGCACATGACCAGCCTCGGTTTGATTCTGGGCATCCCATATGGTCCGCTAAACACTGTCAGTAGTGATACCTGAGTGCAGAGCCAAGAGAAATCTCTGAGCATTGCCAAGTATGGCCCCTGAACAAACAAACAAACAAACAAACAAACCAAAGACAACAACTAGAGCATTTAAAAAAGAAATCCCAGAATGACAGAAGATCTGAGATACATAAAGAGATAAATGCCATGTAAAAAATTATGGATTAAAACAAGAGAAAGAAAATTCTGTGAGAAATGTTAAAATAGGGATGAGAGCACAGTTGTTTAAATCTTATGTAATCTTGATCATGTGACATTGGGTGAGTCACTCAACTCAAATATACATAGTATTTTCATCTGTGAAATGCAGTCTATCAGATACCAATATTAATGTAATTTAATTTAAATATAATAATGAGTGTAAAAGTTATCTGGTATACAAAAAAGTTCAATGATTATGTGTCTTCCTATTCTTGTTGAGAAAAGGAAATACATGTCAATTGACATAATGAATGCTGTGTAGTAAATTTGAAGTTTAGTAAAAGAGAAAT